CTGAAAACGGCGCGCTTTCTTGGCACGTTCTCATACGCGGCCTTTCATGCGAACGTTACGACTATTGCAGCCTGGGGAGTTTCGAGCGAGAATTAGCTCGGCGCGATTAAGCTTACGTCCCCGGATCGAGATAATCGTTAGCGCCAAGTGATTTAGATACGGGTAACGCGAGCCGTGGAGAACTTTCTTCGTATCCGCGTTCTCGATCCTAATGGATCGAAGGACAATGCATCGTTTTTAACTTCTTTCGCGTAGGGATTTTATTGTGGCGTATATTTTTTTCAACGGTGTTCCCTTCCGTTCCATTGGTATTGTTAACCGTGTCTGGAATAATCTGTTAAAGATCATCTCATTAATTTTGTTAAAGATATAATATTTGCAAGTTTGAAAGTAAGAGATCTGTAGTAAATCGATTTTAAGTTGTTTGGTTCGATTGTTGTGTTAATAACGAGAATTAATCCATTTTCCTTTGGGAATGATAGTTCGATCGAAATATCGATGATGATTGACTTTATTTATATATCATTGTGTTAATTGAAGAAGAATTTGAGAAACTATTAATGAGAAAAATATATTTGTCGAATCTAAATTGTAAGTTTTTGGTTCGCAAAATAAGGTTTTCGAACGTCTGTTGATTTAATGAGAGGAGCTTTGTTTATTATTTTGCGGATAAAGTAACAAGACAAAATGGATTTAATGCTAAATATATTGTTCCAACAGAGAAGTAATGCAGGTGTGATGTAATTTATTTGCGAGTGCATAATCAGTTTGAGTTTGACGATGAGAATTTGTATTGAATTGTTTATAGTTTACGTTGAAGAGAATGTTTGATCATTTTGTGTAATACGTGTATCGGTGAAAAATTTCTGGGAAAAGCAGGATATGAAACGGATTCAAAGCAAAAATTGACGATAACGAATGAATACTATAAAAACATAAAGCTGGATATTGGATAAATAGATTATAAAATATATTAAGAATGGTTTGAAGTTAATTTCGTTTTTAAATCGCTATTATATTTATTAGTTTTATTACTGTCATTTAATATTTAATTTTTTTCTTTTTAATGAAGTCGTATTATTTTTTCTTCATCGAAATTCCGACAGCGTTTACAAAATTACTCTCAATCTTCCATATTCAAAATTTTCGATGATCAGTAGATCAGAGTAATAAAATTTGAAACGTAATATTATTCTCCTCGCTATATTGTCAGTGGATTAATAATAACAGCATAGAAATGAGGAAACAAGTTTCAAGAAATGGAAACTTTTATTTGACGACGCAAAAATTCCAATGAACGATTAATTATCCCCACCACTTTTTAAATTCATCACAAATTCGTCATAAATCTTTTCCAACTTACGTTAAATTATCCCTTGAAAGCTGTCCACGGTATTTCGGAATGTGTCGGCAAACACAACGAGATATCCATTTTAATTTTAATCGTAGGGAGATTACGCGTATTTAACCAATCGGCAGAAAAACCAAAATCGATCTCCGTGAATTGGGTTCTTGGGTTGGAAAATAATCGAAGATCGATAGGATCGGTGTTTGGGGTAAAGTTTGCGGAAGCAAGGGCTGGATGATATTCTCGATTATATAGACGAGATCTTATTTCTGTCGAAAGCTGGACGTGTACCCTCGGACCGGATGGATTTTGAGTGCATTAAAGATGGAGGCAATATCGGGGATGGGATTATCTTTGGACGGGCGATATCACGGACGAAAATACTCCCGTTGCAGTGGAATCGGTGGGGGTGAACGGTTCGTCCGTGGAGGGCCGTGTCCGAGGATTAAGCGAGAATTACCTTGGATTCCGGGCTCTCGAATTCCGTCCACTTAATCCTGTTTCTGTCGGTCTACGTATATACGCGCGCAACTTGAATGCCATTTTCTTGTTCGTAATTCTTTACCGGTTAATCTTAAATCCTCTGTTAATTGCGCCCGCCGAGTTTGGCACCCACCCCTTCGCGCCCAAGAGACGTTTTCTTATTACTATTATTTTCTTCTTGCTTGCTGCCGTTTCGAGGAACGAATAATAAACCGAGGCTCTTCCATTATTATTTTTTTTTAAAGTCGGGCTCGCGCGTCAAGTCTTTCGCTTTCAAATTATTTTTACATCGCCTATCCACCGAGACGAGCAAGAAATTAAACGTCGCAAGAGGAAATTTTCTAGATAAAAAAACTTGGGACGAGAAATTTTAAAATTGTTTCATGGATTATTCTCGAGTTTTGATTATTTTGTGCGATGTAATGATTACGAAAGAAGTAGATTTTTAGGTTTAAGATGTATTTACATTTGCCACCATATTCGTTCCACCTTTCTCTCTCTCTCTCTTTCTTTCCCTCTTTCTAGGATTTATCCTATTTCTCTCATCGCGTCGAACTTTTTCCCGCCTTTTTCCTCTTTTTCTCTCTTTCTCTCTTTCGCGCAATTAAAGTAATTCGAAACAATCCACAAGAAGCGGAGCAACGATTTTCCCCGGCGATCAGTGGGATCCCGCAATTAAGGGGGATTTTCACCGATGCACCGAAGCCACGATACACTCTGACGGATATTTTTGTTTCCAGGTGAGACCGTGGTGAAACGACACACGTGCTCCAGGGATGCGAGAAATCGCCGCCCCATTAGAGTTCCATCCCGTGAGGCGAGCGTTGCCGAGCGGAGCGTGAAACGAAGCGTATCCACCTTCCTCAGCGGAAAACCGTGAGAGGATGCGATTCACGGGAAAGCTCGAGGGATAATAAAATATCGGAATCCTTTCTTAAACCACTTTCTTAAACCCGGCCGCCATGAAGGAGGGAAGAGTGAAATTCTATCGAGGAATCGTCGAATAAATATGAGGAAGGTGAAGATTCTCGGGTTATCACGAACCCCTCTCATCGTCGAGAAAAAGAGCACGGTGTTGGACAGGCTCGAAGTACCTTTCGTAACCGCGTCCCGCGACCGTCTCCTCGATCGTCTTAATCCCGGTTGCTCGATCAATGCACACTAAGTTGAAACCAAGGGAAGGGTGTGTTAAGCCGTTGGAATTGGTCGTCGAGGTAACGATAACCGATCGAACGAGATAGTATCGTGCCTCTTTTGCGCCCCGGCCGAACGTTTCAAACCATTTCGAGTCGATCGGGATCGAGAGAACGAGGTGAATTTTCTTGGAAAGTGTGTCTTAGAGAGTGCGTGTATGTGTGCGTAATAGTGGTGCAAAAAGACAAAAGCGACACGATTTTCATCGCTTTCGTTTGGATTATCTCATCTTTCGGTCGTATCTTGACCGATTTCCATCCCCCTTCCATGCCGTTCCTTCCATCGTAAAAATATAACGGCTTATGGGGGACGACGGAGGGATGAAGAGTGAGAGGGAAGCGGATATATCTGCGCACCATTGGACGGTATAATCTCGTAAAACCCGCACACAAGTGTCCATCTACGTGAGCCGTACGTAAAGCCGTCGACGAGGACCACCGGTTTCTAACGCCCGCCAGGAATTGGTACGCCGGCCAACTTTCGACGCTTCGTTCCAACTGTATTCCACGTGACAGACGAGAGTGGCCGTTTCTTCGAGGAACGATCCCTCGAAGAATATATTCGGTCACGGACGGTGTTGAACCGTTGGGTGATCTCGTAAACCTATCCTAAACCCTCACCGAGTCGAGACTATATTTTTGGATGGATCTTATAATATATACGAAGTGACACCGTTCTCTGTGATGCCTCGCTTCGCGAACGCTTCTGGCTGTTTCGAGCAATTTTATCGTATTTATACGTAAAAAAAAAGAGAAGAAAAGAAGGAGAAGAGAAACGAATTAGAGGTATATAATATTTTATGATAACTAGATTTAAAAAAAGATAGATTCAATTTTGTTTTTAATTTTGTAAAGGAACGAGAGTTTGTAAGAGGGTAGAAATTTTTACACGAACAACCGTACGTGACTCTTTTAATATATATATATATATATATATTCGTCGTATCAAATAGAAAGATTATACATTTTGGTGATTGGTAATGCGCGAGTGTCACGTTCGTTCTTCGCCACGCGTTGGAATCTGAATCACGAAGGATGGATCAAGTGCACGTGAAGTCGTCGAGATCGACGTCGAGGAGCAACCCGGCGAAAATGGCGTGCGAGAAGGCGAGCAAGAGGCTCAGGACGATTCTGGTGAAGGCGTCGCGCCTCGGCGTCTCGACGACGGAAGTTGCCAAGTTGCCAAGCGCCAAGAAGCTCATTCCGCAGAGAGATCACGGATGGAAGTTGGCGGTGTTCCTCCTGGTCATGTTCGGCGGCGGAGTGATCGTCGCCTTGGCCTGCACGGCGAGGAAAGGCTGCTCGAAGCTGGAGGAGATCGTAAGTAGCATTTCGAAATTATATCTTATTATCGTTATCAATCGAAAAAGTCAGTCGATTCCTCGATGAGATTTTTAGGATAGAGAAAATCAGGAGAAGGGGAGGGGAGGCTCTCGAGATTTCGGATAAATTAGGACGATTTTACGTCGATTTAAATGACGAGAGTTTCTCGCGTTTGGATCTGTCGAGATTTCGAGAGATAGGAGAAATTTCAGTCGGTCGAGAATATTTTTCCAATTAGTAAATTTCGTAACCTGGTGCAGATAATTTTGATTTCGCTTAGATTAAAGCTGGCAAATTTTCTCGCGTTTTGAGCATCTCTGAAAGAAGAGTTTGGAATATGAAAATTTTACGTAGAGGATTTTGCTTCGTTTTCGAAATCAGAATCGGTAAATTTGTGATTTCTGTTCGGTGTTTATTTATGAAATTTCGGAATTTAGATAAAATTTCCTTTGATCGAGAATGTTGTTTTTAACCGATAGGTGTCAAGATTCGTGTAGAGAATTAATAGGGAAACATTTATACGAAGATTATATATATAGACAGAGAATATTTGGAATAGGTGGAGGATAATTCCAGCATATAAAAATGTTTAAAAAGTGTATCGGATTCAAATATTTATCCCATTCTGACCTTGTTTGCCAGTTAAAATTGTTTTTTACTGTTCCAATAATATCCGCTCCGAAGCGTGCTTGCGTAATTAATTCCATTCAAATATTTACCAGACACAATTTCATATCTTATGCATGATCCTGATGAATATTTGCCGATACTCTTATGATATTTCACGAATTATTTTATATTCCGCTCCGCTCCGCTCGATAAGAGCAACGCGGTGTATAAAAAATTTCGACCGATAATTTTTAGTAACTGCAAAATAACTTTGGAATATTTTCACATCCGCCTCCCCTCCCCTTCCCATCTCTCTCTCTCTCCACCTTGAATTCGCCCCACGTAAAATATTGTTCCACGTTCCACGATCATCGTTCGATGAAATTAATATCGATTCATTAAAAGCATTTAACGAATTGTTAAAAAACGAGTCGTTCGATGGCAAAAAAATTTTTCCTTTTTCTCTCGGATGAAATCATACGTCTTCTCCTCCGTATCGAGTTTCGAACGAGTGTAAGACTTACGAGAGGGTAATTGAACTCTGTATTTAAATCCTTTTGTTACGAGGCAACGTTATACATACTGATGAGGCGAATTAGAAGCGTACACGAATGTTCTCGTGTAAAAGGGGAAAAAATTGGCGTGGGTGTGGGTAAGCGGAGGTAAAACTCGATGGTATGGTCGTAGAGAACGCGCGTACTTACAAAGAGATTTGAAATGGCCTTCGATCATCTGCATTCATAAATCCCTGTACTCGGCCCGAAAGAATCCTTTGTCACGCAACACAAGAGAAGGGCGCATCTCCCCCATTCTTTCTGGAAAAGAAGAAATGAAACGTTCGTGCATCGTTCCAAACTTGTGGAACGAATTTTTCCTCGGGTTGTTCCGTGTGGAGGAGACCATTTCGTATTTTTGAATAGGTACTGAGAGCAAAATACTCATAACCACTTTTCTCATAAATTTATTTCGTTATATCCACTTCCAATTTATGTGAATTATTTTCTTAAGCTAATGATTTGAAACGACAACGATTCTTAGCCGAAGAAAGATCGTTTCTCCCAAAAGTTTATTCTTCGATATTAATATATAATATCGATGGTTTCAATTAAGAAAAAAATTAAGAATCGTTGAATAATTGCACCGATTGGAAAGCTTATATAAAATAAGCTCAAATAAAAAAGCTCGTAAAAAAAAAAAAAATTTTCCATCCTCTCAGCAGAATAACTCCGGTCCGACCATTATCGTTCAATACTACTTGGCCACCACTCGTGTCGGCAGACGCGAGCTCAACTCCGAGGGGGAAAGAGGGATAGGATTAAACGCGATCCATCGCGCGACGACTCATTGGTTTTTCGCCCCTCGTCGTCGTCGTGGCGAAACCGACAAACTTTCGAAACTTTGGTCGGTCCGACGAATCAACGAAAGGCGATACACGGTGGTGCATGCGCGAGATATCGACTACCGTGGCCCGTGCCAAAAGAGAGAGAGAGAGAAAAAGGAAAAGGGAAGAGAAAGCAAAGGACGGGTTGCGGGAATAGAGAGAAAGGCATCGCGTGTGCAAGAAGCCAGCTAGAACGAGGAGGATGGCGAGGGTAGGGAGGCGAGAGGACGGTGTTAACGATGTTTCGTGTAGAGAGGAGACCGGGCGCTGAAATTACAGATCAAGGGGTTTCTAAACAATTACGCTGTCGGCGGGAGGTCAGGGCGAACAGCATGAGGTTAGAGGTTACGGCTCGCAGGA